CCTTCCAAGTCCCACTCTTTCCCCTAGAACATCTAGGACATACCCTGTTTCCTTAGAATATTTCTGCCTTGGGACACCCTTATGACTAAGTACTGGATTTGGGTAATGAATGTAGTTTATACATTGTATTGAATATTCCTGGTATTCCACTATGGTTACAGGTTTTCAGTATCAACGAATTTTAGGTGATGTGGCCAAAAAGCACCAGTTGCCACTGGGAACACCTGAATTTATGGCCCTGTCCCCAAGGATATGGAGGAGAATGAGGCCCTCCTTGAGTGGTCGGTCAGGAATATAGTGACTTGGAGCGGTTTATAAAAGGATTTTGGTGGTATGAGCTCCCCTGGATCAGAAGATAGACGTTAGTCATGAGGGTAGTGGGACAAGGCAATAGAAGCTGATATCAGAGTTGGAGATAGAGAACCACACGGAATGCTAAGCATGATATTCTGGGCTATTCATTTCACGAGAATCTAGGCCCAGGCATTTAAGAGCCCCAGAAGGTGTCCCTGTACCACAGGAGGCCTAAGGTGTGTGGGCTGAATTTGAGTTTAACCAAAGCGGTGCTCATGAATTTCTGAAACATGAAGGAAGGTTAAATTATACTCAAAGTATTCTGTTTAGGACTTGAGGAGCTATATCATTTTCAAAAGATTTAATCCACAGTAACTGAAATAAAAAGGTTTTTATTTAGGATAAACTTCGAGAATATTCTCACATAAAGGATGTTTTAAAATCAGTACATGTTTGCGGTAGGTACACGATGATAATATATTCTTTGTGTGGAGTTGGTACATGTACAGAATGCATCTCCATTCCTCTTTTCATCCCCTGTCCTTCCTCCTTTCTTCCCCTCCTTCCATCTCTTGATTTCCTTCCCATTTGAGAAAATTCTATCTTCCTACTATCTATCTTTTATTTTGTTCTTTATTTATAATTTAAGTTTCTCATATACGACACATCATGTGATATGTAAGCTGGGGTGTCTGATTTATTTCACTTGTCATGGTCTCAAAGTGCGTCCGTGTTCCTACAAATGACTCAAGTAGGTCACTGTTTTGTACAATGCAGTGCTGTGTATATAAAAATTGAATAAATACATTAAAACGGAGTCCAGTGTACAGATACAGTTCTCCTCTTCTTATGACAGAGTTTGGTCATAAGTTTAAAATGCCCAAAGTTGAAATTGCATTTGGCTTTTGCAAGCCGATACACTACTTTAGCAACACGATGCACACAATAGCACCAGTGGTTTATTCTTGGGGTTCCATTACTGACTGGAGCTGCAGCTGGCTGTCACTGCTTAGCCCCACAAGAGTGTCTGCCACATATTACTGGCCCAGGAAAGATCAAAATTCAAAAATCGAAAGCCAGTTTTTGTTGAATGCACCATGACAAAGTGGAAAAGTTATACGTGACCGCTGAAATTCAGGGACCACCTGCATAAGGGTTCTCAAAAATACCCTTGATGACTTAACTATTGGAGGACACTGACAACACATTTCCGACCTATATTTTTGTACAATATGTTGACCGTCCTGCCAAGTTGTCATTTAGCTGCTGATCCCATTAAGCAAGTCATTAGCTGGATAAAGTCTAGAGTGGGGGGTGAGATGTAAAACCACTTCTTCAAAAGTCGATTAAGAGATTAATACTCTCTTCCAGCTTGAAATAATAACACATCTCCTTTGAGTTTATCTTTTATTTTAGGCTCTCCAGGCTTGAAAACTACAGTCAGTGATACTGTAAAGAATCTGCAGTCAACTCACACTCTTTTATATAATTAATAGGATTTGCTCAAACAGCTTATCCGCTCAAGTTCTGAAAATCTCTTTATCCTTTATCTGCAGAAACACTAATCACTTGCAAGGACAAAGTTGAGGGAATTTGCTTTAAAGACAGTTTTTAAAAAAGTTTTCGCATCAAAATCTACTGCTCTAGTTTCCTGGATTTCTTCTGTCTCTCATTTCAACTTTTCCCCTGTAAGCTATTTAAAATAGCACTTCACATCGACTGGAACAGAGGTGAGTTAGTCACATCTTCTGGAGAGACAAACATTTCTGAAGGCCCTTTCTACCTGCTGTATTGCTGAATTTCACTGGGCCCATGACATAAGGAGCTGCGTGATCTAAAACTGAGAAGTTCAATGAGAAGGGAAGCCGCGGCTCTGGGTGTCCTGTGGTGATCTGGAAAGAGTTCAGAATACACTTATTGGAAGGGGAGCAAAGGCTGAGGGAATCAGCATGTGGCCGAACCTCAGATCTGGGCATGGGCTGTCACCTCTGCAGTAATCCGGGCTACAGAAACAAAACACAGCAGCAATCGAATGTTAAGAAAGCTGCTGTGAGGATGCAATGGAACATCAGAGTCCAGAAAGGGGCGTTTAGGCTGGATGTCAAGTCCACTTTTGATAGACATAGATTGGGCCTCCAATTATAGTCCACGGGGCTCCATCCACTGTGGAAAGTGAATTTCCTCGAGGAAATAAGGAAGCAATTTAAGAAAAGAAATTGCACACTTGGCAGAAACTTTGTGATTACTGTGTTACCACCTTGCATCTTTAAAAATGGCTCTAGCTATATAAATGGGGAGCATTCTCTCATTAAAGCCTTTGGGTTACCATCCCAAGCATGGATCATTCTATAAATGCCTGTAAAACCAATGAAAAATAATAGGACAGACAGGAAGAAGGCAATTTCGAAAGCTGGTGGGCTATGTACTAGTGTTTGTTATCTATTGCTGCTTAACAGGGTTACCACAAACAGAATTTTCAAACAGCACACATTTATTACCTCCCAGTTTACAGGGGCCAGGACTTTGGATGTGGCTTAGTTGGGCCCTCTGGTCAGTGTCTCATAAGGCTGCAATTGAAGTGGCAGTCGAGGCTGTGATATCATCTGAGGCTGGACCAGGGAAGGATCTGTTCTAAGATGACTCAGGTTGTTGGCAGGGTTCAGTTCCTTGAGGTTATAGGTAGGACTGAAGATTCAGTTTCTTGCTGGTTGTTGGAAGCAGGCTGTCTAAGCTCCAAAAGGCTGCCTACAACTCCTTGCCAGGTTGGGTTCCCTGACATGGGTTTCTTTGATTCCTCCAAGCCAACAATGGAGAAAGACTCCAGTGAGACAGGTACTACAGTCTGATGTAATTATTCAACCACACACATAGCCATGCATACCCTATGTCTTTACTGTATCCTATTGGTAAGAAGCAAGTGACAGGTCCCACCCACTCAAGGGGAGGGCATCACACAAGGATGTGAACACCAGGGGGTAGGGATCAAGGGCAACATCAAAAACCTGGAAGTGGCAGACCCAGGCAGGGCAGTCAGAGAACTGACATCTTTCTCCTGTGCATAGAATTTCCCCAGGGAGGTTTCTCCAGTGGAGAATTGGTGAGGGTAGCAGAACAGAGCCCTGGCCTCTACCCTCTGTAGCTCTGCCATAGAGCAGGGGCATGGAAGGAGCCCGCCTCCGCAGGACTGCAGTGTATCTCCCTTTTGGGTTGGTCTTTCTCTTACAGTTCTGTGTATGTCACTAAATCTAGAAGCCTCTATGAAATTACACCTTCTCTTTATTGCATGGAAATGCTTTATTCATATTTTGCTCACCTGTATTACAGGCATCTTAAAAACAGAAGCTATTTCTTGGCTATTTCAAGGAATGTTTGCATGCCCTTTAAGCAGGATAAAAACGAAGGCAAAGAAAGATACTGTGGAGGAAAGTGCTCCACTTCACTGTCGAGTGATACAGGAGAGAGGGCTCCAGGTCAATGAGAAAATCTGCCTTTAGCTGCACTTGGTTGTGTAAACAAAACATGTACATTCGAAAGGGGTGACCTTACGAATGTTCAAATCACTGCCCAACGTGCTTGGGTCCGCCCTACTAGAGCTGCTAGGTTGCATCCAGGGCAGATGGATAACGGATAACGAAGCCCAGGAGACACAGGTTGAGTCTTTGCATACACTAGCAGCATGACCATGGACTTAGTGCTTTAACCGGAGTCTTAGTGGCATCACGCTCACAGACAGCGCAACGAAGATGTGCAGCACAGAGCCTAGAGTTAATATGTAGGAAATCAGAATCACGATGATCCTCTAAGACTGTGACCTGGGAAGGATCTTGCCAATTCTCAAGATGTAATTTGTCACACACCAAGGACACGGAGGAGGCACGCTTAGTACCCAGTACACAGCTCACTTCTCCTCTTGGAGCTAAGGGGGGTATAGTGTGCTGGTTCCCCGAGTGGAGGAAACTGGACTCTTTACTGCCATTCTCTCTTGCTTGGAGCTGACCATCCTGAGAACTGGTGGCAGAGCGTCCTCTGTGGACAGCAGGGGGCCTCGGACAGGTGCTGATTGTGTGGGGGCAGGACAGGGAGTACGGACAGGGAGTATCACAGCTCCGCCTTTCATCTCCTACCTCCCAGGGTGGACTGCAATTCACATGGGAATTAGCAGGGTGTGCGTGGCCAAGCCACAGTCTCTCCAAAGCCATGTCTACTATTCTGGGCAATACGAAGGGTCACAAGAGGGGAAGAATGTAGAAACTTTTTATAAACTGCATTATCTATGGGGACCAAGGATATACTCTTTACCAGGACTCTGCCTCTGTGATGAGACCCAATTGGAATTTTCTCCCCAAACTGCCCTAAGGGACCAAAGGAAAATGTTAACTACATTTTAGAAAAGTTTTAATTTGAACAATTTATGATTAAAAATACATCTTATAAATAATTTCTCCATAGACTTGATTGAGGATTGTTGCAAACTGTACAAAAAAGACATACTGCAACATCAATGGGTTAAAGAAATTACAAAAATACAGCAATAGCCTTATGTAAAAATATAACATTGTATATCACACAGCATTTTCTTTGTGCAAAAGGTTTCACAGAATGCTGTGTTGAGCATGTCAAACATATTTAAAGGGAAGTGAACTTTAATAGGTACTTGTGTAATAGTATAAGCATTTGAAATGACAAATCATCTTCCCCCAGAAGTTAATATATTTTAGCTCAACATTTTACTTTTATTTTGTAGGATAAAAAGGCTAAACTCAGCCCTATACAAATGCATATGTGTCTACATATATATATATGTATGAAATATATATATATGTACAAAAACAAGTATCTGCTTTGATATCATGTAAACATCCAACATATTTACAGTATTTCTGGAGATTGTGCTCTCCAAATCAGTCTGTACACATCTTCGCTGCTAAATAAGTCTTTGGAAAATTAAACTAAGCCAACATCTGTCAATCAGTGGACATCCTCTGTTGACACTTCCAGTTTTCTCTGTGGAACAAAGAGGCTTCCAAAAGAGGTTTTATCAGCACCAGCACCATCAAAATCCACACAGGACAAGCCAGTCGGCTTGGTGGGTCCACCTGGGGTACGGAAGAAACTTTCGGCCACTAAGTGTGATCCTTTGGGTGTCACCGGAACGGGCTGATTTAAAAGAGAAGAGAAAAAGGAATTAAAAGCACAGAGGTATAGAAGGCCCAGCGGACTTGGAAGATTGGACTGGATGGACATGTACAGCACATCCTGACACTGGCTAGTGCAAGGCTTGCCAAGTTTTACACAGGCAAAAACCTCTTGATGAGCCAGTAATGCGGACTCTTTGAGCAATCTTCCTAGATCTGACAGAAGGTTGGCCTCCACCCCTTCACTTTCCTGTTAACCTTCCCCTCTCCAAAATAAGCAAATCTCCTATGATAATACAGACATTTGGGACCTAATAATTCAAAGAATAACTAAATTAAATGGAAACACACTCACCTGTTGTGTCCCTGTCATGGTGACGGATTGTCCATTTGGTTGGCTCTGGCCCGGGACTGGTGAGTCAGAGCCGGTAACCCTTCTGTGCTGAGAGCCTGCATTTTCTGGTATGATACTAACTGCTTCTATTTTCGGGGACACAGGAATGGTTCCGGTCCCAGGTCCAGGGCTGGCAGACATCTGCACACTCGGGGAGATGAGTCCCAAGTGCTGGAGGGTGAAGTTTACAATGGCTGAGCTTGGGTTCTGAATGGCAATGGGATGGCTCGAGGCAAGGGCGGGGCTGTTCCCACCAGGTATAGCTGCCACAGAAGTGGGTGAGACCATTAGCTTTAAAGGTGTCACATGAAAAGAGGGAAAATTCACAGCAGTGAGTTCAGAGGATGTCACTGGAATAACACCTGGGGAAAAAAAGGGGAGAGTATCTTAAAAGAACAGGCAATTGTCTAAGAAGTTTACAAAGCTTAAGAAACTTGAGACTGACTCAAGTTTGAAGAGTGTTTTTGCGCATACTCACCTGCAATCGGGGAGCTGTAGAGCCTGTGGTTTGGGGAAAGTGTACCTGAGCTTTCTTTATTAGACAAAATGGACTCTGCCCCCAAGGATGAGCACTGGGTGAGAGGGATCAGGTATCCTGATGGGAACAAGGTCTGGAAAACAAGGAGGAGGGGTTTATTTACATACAAATGCTACTGGAAGAAAAATGGTCACATGACAGTTGTTGTCTGCCTCATCAAACCAATGCCTCCCACAGTTTGGTCTGAGCCATCTGGTCCCTAGAACACAACATCCTCCTATTCACTCCAAGCCTTGTCCTGGCTAACACAGATCATTTGATCTTAAATGCCACTGGAGCCTGGTTAGGGGTAGGACTCACCCAACACAATACCCTCACACAAGGACATCCTGACTGCTGTGATCAGACTTCTGGGGGTGATGAGCTGCTGCTGGGGTCCAGTTTAATGCTGGTGACATGAGCTGTACTGTAGGAGTGTGTACAAGTTATCCCTGAATTAGGTAGTACAGCATTTCCCAGCAAGTATTCTGAGGGACCCTAGCTCCTGGGGATGCAAGCAGGCATGACTTGACTCATGATCAAATATGTTTGAGAAATGCTAAATTAAACAAAGGCCAATGGTGTCTCTGTTAGAGAATTTTTTACATGACTTAAATGATGGCATACACTATTAACCTGCAAGTAGGGTGGATATTGCATGTAGCATTTCCCAGAGTATTTTCGGAAGGCTATTAAGGAGGACTAATATTCAAAGAAAACACACCTGAGACAGTGATTTGGAGAAAGAAGTGGCCAAACCGTGGCCCATGGCCATGTCCAGCCCCTCACAAGCTTTAGTACAGAAAGCTTTACTGGAGCACCGCCATGCCCACTCATTTAAGCAGTGTCCACGGCTGCTCTCCTGCCACACTGGCAGAGCTGCAGAGGCGCCACGAGGAAATACAGGCCACAAAGCCAAACAGATTTACTCCCTGGCCCTGTACAGAAAAGTTTACTGACCCCTGACTGAGAACAAAGGAATTTATAGACTTTTTTTTTTGGTAGTACTGCTTGTTCTGATGACACCAGTCTTTAACATGCAAACTAAAGTCTGCTGGAGTTCAAAAATGAGACAAAAAAATAGAAGTGAATAATTCATAGTAGAGATCCAAATATCATTGAGCAAACAACTCATGCAATAAACAGAAAAGGCCCACATGTCTGCCTGCACGCACCTCCCACCCGGCCAATTACTCTCTGTACTTCACCAAGCAGGGAAGTCTACGTGGGTGGCTGGGAGGCCCGCAAAGTCTGCTGGGGGCTGGTGAAAGCTAAAAGCAGCTCTTATAAAATAGGAGCTTCCTTTTATCTTCCTTCAGACCTCTCTCCTCTCCAATGTCAAAACAACAGTCCACAGTTTCATCTGGCTCTTAGTCTTTTCCTTGGGAACCAGTGAATTCAGAATCCACAAAGCTTTTAAAAGTATATCACAAGATTTACATTTTGTTTCTTAGGTGCTTGCTAATGCTCAAAGTCATTACCAGATGGAACTCTGAAAGCAAGGAAGTAGGGAATTCTGAGAGGTAGATTTGGGCCTTTTACATACAGCTGTGCTGTGATCTTCAGCCATGCCCTCTTGTAAAGTTACTAGGATGGCCAGTTGGACGCTTTCAAGAGTTCAGTAAAACTTGAAGCACTCTCCTAATAATCACATTTTAAAAATTCTCAATGAGCTACATTTACTACAAAATATTTTAACCTATAGTGATAATTCCAATTAAAAAGTGATCAGAACTACTAATTTAGCAAAATGAACGAATCTGACATATTTCCCCTTGCACGTCAATGTCATCTCTTCTCACCCACAGGCCCCCTCTTCCTGCCATCTCAGCCTATTTTATTTCCTCGGTCCTTTTTTCGCATTCAGTGTCTGTGTTTATTTTTGTGTTTATTTGAATACTGTCTTCTCTCCACCTCTAGAAGTGTGGATTCTCAGGAAATGCGCCCTGGACTAATTAACACATTGTCTTTGTTCTCTAAGCACATGCTAAAAAGAAATGGTCAAAATGGAGTCACAGAGATGAAAAAAAGAAAAAGAAGCTAGGGGATGTGGAAAATGTACCCACTGCAAACCTAATCCTGATAATTCAGGGCACAGCAGGAGACTGTCATGAAATCATCCCATTGACCCAAAGAGATTGGTGACCTCCTAGAAAACTGAGCCTTGTGGTTTTTCTCCCCAGTATATACACTAAGTGCAAAACAATACATGAGATCCTAGATGTTCTGAATGGTTTCCATGAGGCCTTCCTCAGGGAAGAGTCGACAAACTCTAAGCTTATTAACAGCAGTTAAAGAGAATGCCCTTCAGCTGATGCAGCATCTTAACCGGCTCGCAAACCCTTCATGTATATCATCATGCAATAAATTCACTTAATCCCACAGAAACCTGCAGTGTGGCCACAGGGTAAGTACTCAGAAGCAACAGCCACCCGAGGTGGGTGCTGGGGTTAGATGGGGTCCAGAGCAGTTTTTCTACTCCACTAGGCAAGTAGGAAAAATTGGGAGAATAAATTCATTATAGAGGAGGAAAAACAAAAAAGATGTAGAAAAGTAAAATAACGAGTTAACAGCAGGGGCAAAACAAGAGATTAATTTCTGCTTGCATGTGTAGTGACAATGATGTGTTTCATACATAATTGTCCTAAAAGAGGGAAACAAGACAATGTATGTGAAAGTACCCAACACCCAATATCCAATAAATATTCTTTTTTTTTTAACCAATCTCCACCCAGGAAAAAAAAGTTATCTTGAATGTCAAAGTCTTTAGAAAGCAATGTATGCAGTATTTGTACCCTACAATTTGCCAAGGTCAGTTCCATTTTCCCATATATAAAAAACCGAAACTGTGAGATACAAAGTATAAAAGGGAACAAATTATCTCCTAGACAACAGATGTCAGTTCCATGACATCGGACAAACATGGGGAGTGACTCAGAAAGCAGGAGTTACAGGAACCTCATGCACCCATCCATTTGAGATTAGGTCTGCTTATAAATTAGTTACAACTTTCATGACAGGTGTTTGCATTCCAGCGAGTGATGGAGAAACAGACTTAAGGACAACCACCTGTGGTGCTTTAAAAAGAGTGCAAGTAATCCCTTCCTCCAAAGGTTAAAAATGTCTCTGCAGTCATCCCAGTCAGGGGATTAGCTGTATGAACCTCATTTGGGTTTCAGGATGCTAAGGAACAGTTCTTTGTCTAAGACACTGCTCTTTGCTCGGGTAAATTTCCCAAGTCCCTAAACTGTGCCCTAATCAGGCAGGGCATTCCTAAAATTTTAAAGCACAAGTCAAGGTTGTACTTACCGCGGCCACACTGTCGAGTCCTTTTAGGTCCTCTTTATATTTCTTTTTAGAAACACAGTCCTCAAACAAGCTGGACCTCTTGGAGCCCCTTTCTCCAGGTGCCTCCCTGGTTTGGTTCTTTGCACCTTGTCTCTCTGGTGCTGGCAGTAAGCTTTCGCATCTGCAGGGGCCACTGGACTTTGTGGCATCCCTGGTGGCCTTGGTGGTGGCATCTGTGGAGTCTTTTGCTCCGGTAACTTGAGAGCAGTAGGAGGGGCAGACTGCGGGGCTCAGGCCTTGGGGTGGTGCCATGGTTTGGGCTTGGGCAGGTTGCAGGTAGATGGCATAGGATGGGCCGGAGGGGGCCTGAGGTAGGATCACGGGCACTGCGGGTGACAATGGGCTGGGGACCAGGGGCACCACCCCCAGGGGCTGGATGAGGGATGGTGACATCTCCAGCTCAGCATTTGCTGATGCATCCAGAGGGGCCACTGGTTTGTAGTGCCTGGATCTTGCTAGCTGTACTTTCACTTTCTTTCTGGGTTCACTAAAAGATAAGACGTAAACGTGACACAAGGGACATATGTTTTTCTCCTCTCCTCCATCCTCTTCCATTTTAAGCCTCAGGTTGAAGTTACACTGTCTTTTCTTTTTTTTTTTTTTTGGTACCAGGGATCGAACTCAGGACCTCGCGTTTGCAAGGCGGACGGTGACACCACTGAGTTAAATCCCTGGCCCTGAAGCTGCACTTTTATGAAACTAGTAAGTTTCTGTACTGACTGAGCAGGAGACACAGAAAAGATCATCTCTCCAGTTTCTAAGGCCGGTGCCCTGATCACATAAGGTAAACAACTGTTTTTTTTATTAGTACATATTTGCAGGACGTGACGTTTACATTCCTGTGTAGCGTAGGCACATGTACAGAAAACATCTTAATTCCTTTCTTCATCCCCTTGTCCCCAATCCCTCCAGCTCTATTCTCTTCCCACTTGAGAAAGACCTCTCTCCCTACTTCCCATTACTTATCTTTTATTTTGGTCTGTATCTGTGTAATAGAACACAGTAATTAAGTGTGTGTCTGATTTATTTCACTTAACATTATGGTCTTAAGGTGCTCCCATTTTCCTACAAAAGACTCATCTATCTTTTTTATGGCAGAGTGGGGCTGCATTGTGTGTAAATACCACATTTTCTTTCTGCATTCGGCTGTTGATGGGCATATAGGCTACTTCAAGATTAGCTACTATGAATCGTGCTGCCGTGAAGAAACAGGAATGCACGCATCACTGTAATATAATGTCCTTAACCTTTTCTGAGAGGATACCTAGAAGGGAAACAACTAGGTCAAATGGAATTTCCAATTCTAGTTTTTGGAGGAATCTCCATGCTCATTTCCATAGTGGCTGGTCAGCTGACATTCCCAGCAGCAACTCTGACAATGCAATGTAAAAGTAATTCACCCCGTTACTGAAGAGCATCGCCAACCTACCTCGATTGTTCTTCTAGCTGCATTTTGCAAATAGCTGCAAGCTGAGCCATTTTATTCGGGAAGGGTGGAGAATTCTGAGAACTCTCAGCTGGTAAAACAGAAAGAGGGGGGACGTTCAAAGCTAAGGAATGAATGTTCCCACAAAACCCCATCACAGGAAAAAGAACAGAAAACACATTGCCGCTTCCAAAGTCACACAGCAAATTAATAGTAAACTCTGCAAATTCCTTTTCACCCTTTCATTTGAATGTCATTTAGCTTTACGTGTTTGCAGGTTTGGGTCTGTAGGTATTGAAACAATTCTTTTAACAATATGGCAGGGATCGAGTAAGCTGTATATATAAAAAACAAGCAGATAAAAAGGAATGAGCTCACCACTCCCAGGATACACACCTTTGTTCTTGACAGGGCTACTGGGAGCAGAATTTATCTTTCTCCGATCGCTCTCTATACTCTTTACCAGTTTGATAAGAGATGGGTGTCGTGTGAAGTTTGGTTTCCCACGAGTGGAAAAGAGGTTTTTGGCACAGTTCTCTTTTGCAGACCTCCTCATCTCCAAGTCAGAGATGGCAGAAGTAATGACTGGGCTGGAGCCTGAAACAGAAAAGCTTAGTATATTAAAATCTGGTGTTTTGGCTTCCTTCTGAGATACGAAATCAGTGTAGCTCAAATTTTAGGGACAAAAGTGGTAACAGTTAAAGTGCCAGCTATGGGCCACTGTCCCACAAGCTTTACATATGTGACCAAGTCGGTCTTATTCAGTGAATTTTGAGTTGCAGTATTTCACAATGTATCCCTGAAACCACTGCCATACAGTTAGTTGTCCCTTGGTACCTGGGGAGGATTGGTTCCAGAATCCCCTCTGATGCCAAAATCTACTCAAGCCCTGTATATAAAATCCCACAGTATTTGCATATAACCTGTATACATTCTCCCATATAGTTTAAATCATCTCTGGATCATAATACCTAATATTGTATAATGCACATGCTATGCAAATGTTATACTTTAGGAAGTGACCAGAAAAGGTCTGTATATTTTCAGGAGAGCGCGCGTGCGCTCACTGCTGTGCTGTGCTCACACACACTGCTGTGCTGAGTCCTGCTGCGGTGTCAGTGGGTGCGGAGAGCTGACTGTATCTCATACCAGCAATGTGCTCGAGTGTAGTCACTACTGACTTTTCTTTCTTATTGATGGCTGAAAAACTGTCTTTTCTCATCAGCGGCCTGTGAGAGCTGATCACACCGGCTCCATGCGGCAGGTGCTTCTCAGAGATTAGAGCGAGGACAGAGACCTTAGCCACTAACTCAAGACTTCTGGGAGCAACACGTGGGCCTGGAATATGGACCAGGTCAGTGCAGAGCCTCCACTCCAAATCCTGGCACCAAAGGGCCTCTCCCTGAAGTTACACCCCACTCGCAATAACCCCAAGAAGGCGCCTTTGTTCTTACAGTGTCACGGGTGAGGAACCCGAGGGAAGCTGGATGCATAGCTTGCCTGAGGCCCCATGACTAAGTGGCAGAGCTGGGACTAAAACTTAAGTCTCTGTGCTTCACGTTCTTGCCACTTTCCAGTGCTCCGGGTGGGGATCTTGGAAGGTGACATGTCAGCATGGCAGAGCTGATGTGTGCACTAGAGCTACCTGCTCGGAAAGCAGAATGAGGTCGGCCCACATCCTCCACACGCGCAGGTCCTGGTGCGCTCACCAAGCAGCACAGTGACACCAGCAGCAGGATCTAAAGCTCTGAGGTGCTTTCAACTTTTCAGAGCCGTTCACTTACAAATCCGACTTCCCAGACACAGGGTGGAGGGCTGGTTATAGACCTTAAGGTATGACAGAACCGGTGGCCAACCTTCCACGCTGGCCCTCAACTTTGTCTTTTCAGCCATCTACGTATGTCTTTTCCATGTGGTGGTATAGGAAGAAAAGAAGGGAGAATGTACATTAAAACGAAAGCAAAAGGGTGAAAGTAAACAATTACGTACCACTGGTACTTGGACTGATTTCCGGGCCTGTCCATTTAAAAGCTGGTTTTCGACCTCTTTCCTCTGTAACATGAACTTTCTTGATAAGATCCAGGCTACTTAGAACATTAGCTATATCATACAGCCTCCTAATTTTTGCTGGAAATAAAAAAGCATACATACCTCTTAATAGAGTAAGGAAGGATTAAAGGATTTTGCTTGATAAGAAATTTGTGGAGATGCTAAGAGCTATCCCAACCATCAATGTCAGACAGGAACATCTGACTCCTTTGAAGTTAGTCTAGTGATAGGGCTTTAATTAAAACAAAAAATTGGTTTTAAATATTTAAGAGACAGTTACTGCTGGTCCTGAATTTTGAAATGACAACAGGGAAAGGTGAAAAAGGAAAAATCTTGATGAGATCATCCTATTTATAGAAAGTCACCATTCCTACGTATCTTCTAATGAGAAGTCAGAATTTTGTAGACAGAAATAGATCAGTGATAAATGCACTGCTGTTCTGCTTGTGATAGTTCATAACAAGATTTACTTAAAATCAGAAGCATGCAAAATTCTATACCCCCATAAAATTTGTAAATTTCGTAAATAAGGAGTTGTCCTTAGGTCAAACACATATTTGTTAATTCTATAAATCTCACGAATCTTGATGTTGCCACAAAAAGCCTATTTACTTCCATTTTGCTAGTATAAACTCATGATTCCAGACTCCTTCTTCATAGCCATGCCAGAAGGTTCTGAGTTTCCTGGGAATTCAGCAAATTACACATCTGCAATTCCTGGAATAGCTGCCAGTGCTGTGACGAACCAGGGAAACAGAGCTGAGAACTAGTGACTCAGAAGAAACAGGCGACCCATCAGTAGAGTCAGAACGTCTTCTTTCAAATCGCAGGTCTCCTAACCCCACTGCCAGCATCATTACCCGTATTCTTTTATCTGTCTTTACAGATACACTATCAGCCTCAGGATGTCTAAACATACTGCCATGGAACTAGTACAGTGGACTTTTGACTTATGAACTCAATTCGTTCTCCAGGGCAGGCTGTAACTCAAGTTGGACAATGAAGGCTCAGGCTCCTCTACACAGCCTCCAAAGTCTCTCTCCTGTACACAGGCAGCTCTCATTGTCCTGAGAGAGACAATGGCCCGGGATTTCTCAGTTAACCCCACACAGGAAAGGATGATGTCGTGTTCCATCCAGAACTCTTTAAGGGTTAGATCTGGGTCTGACACCATCTGGAAGCATAAGCAGCCAGCATTCAGGTCACAACTCAAGACTTTGTTCGTAAGTTAAAACTAAAATTCCAGTCATAAGCCAAGTTGTTCATATGTCTGGCCAGTCATAAATTGAGCTTTACAGGATAGGAAGGCATCTTGGTGTGAGGCCCCCGCAGTCACTACAGCCTTTGGGGTACTTGGGCTGGCTCTTCCTCACCACACAGCTGGGTCCTGAGTGGCCCCCATTCAGGTGAGCCCCAGCGGAGATGGGCCTGCAACAGACTCCCTGTGTGCTGCGTATTTCCGTCCACATGTTCTCTCTACTCCTCCTTGTGGAGCTTCCTCCAAAATCTGGCATGGCAACTGGGTCAGAGCCCTATTCCTATTAGGAACCCAGTCTACGGTCCCTTCTCAACTCAGAGCAGGTAATCTGGCTAAAATGATTCTTTCAAAACAGCAAACCATCTCTATGATAGGTCACTTTAGAGGTCAATTTTATAACAGCTATTTGTTATCAAATAGCTTCACAGTGGAAAGAGTGGAGATCTAAGACTCGAGCCTACTTTACCCGACGGTACAGATTCTCTTAGTGTAAAAAGGGATCAGCATTAAAGTATCAGATGAAGTCAAAGTACGAATAAGAATAGTCATACCTACCTTTGAATCCTACAAGGTTACTAAAGCGAAGGCTATTAGAGCTGCTTGAGAGAAATGAAGACAATTAGGTAACTGGAGAAGATTTTTATTTTTATTTTTTTGGTACTAGGGATCAAACTTGGGTCCTTGCACTTATGAGGCAGGCGGTGGAACCACTGAGTTAAATCCCTGGCCCAGAGAAGATGTTTACCAGTACACTTAAAAATCAGTCAATAACTGAGAGTACTATTCACAAACAAGTCTAAAAATTCCATGATTATGATGACACTTACTTTTAAACTTGCTTTTATCCAGGTCTTCCACATGGTCCTCCCCAATTAAAATCTTGGCAGCAATTTCTAGGCTGACGATCTGAGGCGTCGACACCAAGAACAGCATCACAAATTTCTGGCTCATTACTCTTAAGGACTTGTCTTTGCGGCTGTTTACAGAAGCTTTGGAGAAGGATGAGGATTAGAGAATTAAAATTCATGAATGGACAAGCGACTTCTAAAGTGACAAGGCTAAAAATACCACCACCTGATCGTCCAGCTGACAACTGCAGCATCTTGATATTAAAAAGCCACAGGAGCTGTAGAGCGGTGTTTTCCACGGGGTCTTTTTTTGGAGACCCTCGAGGAAAGCCACACAGCCTGGGCTTTTCAGTGCCGTCTCTCACCTGCCCGAAATTCCACTCCAGGAAGTTCAACGAAACACATCTCTGTATGTCCATTCTGGCCAGTGTTTGACTTGACGACATGATCTTCTATACTGTAACTCTTAATAAAGTCAAACTCTTGTTCGTATTCTTTCTTTTTGATCATCATAATCTGCTCGGCATACTTATTCTCTTCCCCGACGCTCTTGAGAGTCCCAAGGGTTTTGTTGAGATTATGTCGTCCGTGCCACGTGTACCTGTTTTTGGCGAGTCGGCTCACCATGTGTAAGCTCTCTAGGACGTTCACGATATCGTAAATTCGGCGACGTTCAACATCTACGGAGAGTAAGAACTTGGGTGGTTACCAGAGTCACTTTTGTAATGTGTTTAGAATTGAGTAAGTTTTCTTCTACAGTATTTTTTGTCAGCAGGTTCTGGATAATATAATTTTACTTACTGTATGCACACACTCCTAATAAGTAGTAGGTTGAGAACGACATGTACAGACAAGTTAATATGACTCAGAAAGATGACATCTAGTGAGGACACAGTATGTGTCACACAGCTTCAAAACACTTCTCTCCTAACTTGTGAGATAGGTATTAATATCTCATTTAATTTCTTTTCTTTTTCTTTTTGGTACAGGGCATCGACCTCACGCTTGCCAGGCAGGTGCTGTGATACATCCCTGGCCCTGTATCTCATTTTAACAGCGAGGACAGAGGCTAAACCAGCTACAGTTGTTCATCCTATGGGACAGCCAGAAAGGAGCAAATCAAAGTCTTTTATATTTCAAAGCCTGTATACTAACCCATTTATTGTAGTACCTTCCTAACATACACAAACCCGGCCCTGCCTATAGTAATCACATTAAAGATACAAAGTGCTGACACTTCAGAAAAGTGCAAAAACATGACGTTTTCTAAATAATCACATAAAAAATAGAAAATTATATCCCTTTTTGGGTCTGTGCTTACTGTCTAGCTACTGTCAAGAATGGGATAGTAGTTCTGTGACCTCCATCCATCTAGTTAAATTGATTTCTCAGCATTCTGCAACGTTAGATTTTTTTCTTCTTTCCAGAAATTTACTTCTAAAGTTGATTCAAAGTCAAGTATTTGATGAAATCTTGCCTTCCTGGAGAAGTGCTTAACGCACTCCTTCAAAGAGGGTGCCCCCTAGTGGCCGCTCGCTGTTCCTGGGACCTGCCTGTTAAGACCCTGCCTGAAAGCCTCCCTCAGGGGCTGTTCTCCGGCCCTAAAGCCCTTCTTCCTGATGTCCGCAAAGCCCTGTCTTGATTTTTTTTCAAGTGCTGCCTCAGCTGTCAACTCAGTAAGCCCTGACCTGACCACTTAATTTAAAATTGTAAAGCGTCAGCATTCCTGATCCTTCTACCCTCTTTTCTGTAGCATGTTATTACCTTCTGACATTCACCATCATGACCAACAAATTATGTCCCTTCTGCTTCCCTCCCTGTAGCTTCCCCAGAGAAGGGGCTTTTGCCCTTCTTGTTGCATGGCTGTATCCTGAGCTCCTAGGACACTGCCTGGCACACAGGATCAGTAGAGAGCCGCTGGATTAAAGAGTGCATCCTAGTAGTGTATATGAAGAGATGAACCTAAGTGGTATGTTCTTAAAATGTGAAGTCAAGCTGATATTTACAGACATGATTTAGAAAAGTAAAGCTGTTCTCCATGGGTGATATCTAGATACTAAAAGGTATTATCTCGCCCAGCACGCCTCAAGCTTTAGATGCAGGTAGGTACCTAACTCCAGAGATACCCCCAAGTTTACTACAGACCCTTTCTTTAATTTGATGCAAGGGAACAAAAGAGGGTGGAACATAATTTGTGCCAACCACAAAACGTTCCAAAAACCCTCACTCCTCAGACTAATGGTGGCTGAGTGGCAGGGAACACACAAGCTGGCCCCACTCACAGAAGCTGGCCTCAGTTTAGCTATGAAGATACGCATGGGCTTCTCAAGGAGAGGCCAAGGTGAAAGTTCAGAGTTGTAAGCAGATAAGGAAACAAACAATAAAACACTGCTGCCTGCCAGGAAAGCTTTAGAGACCCTATAATCAGAAGCAACCTCCACTCTGGTTTTATTTTGCCTCTAAGATTCACTGCAGTTAGAAACTTTATTCTTACAGTAAGAAGACTTTAGAGACTAATTTCCTCAGGGCCTTATCTGTGTCTGTCACACACACTGGCTCTGAAGGAGTTAAGTCCATAAAGCCACTTTAATTATTAACCGTTTCAGCAAACCCTCAGCATACTTACTGAGCTCTTCTGCAACTTCGTCCAGACAGATGTCATTATTCACAGCAGGGTTGGGATACTTAGGGTAGCGAGCCAAGAACTTATGACATAGCAACCCTAAACTTTTCTCTTTTCGACTCGGTTGAGACTTCTCATATTCATCTCCAAAGAAGTGTTCCTACGAGGGAAAAGGTTGACAGATTTACGAGGGGCATCTGTGCTTGATGACTAACACCACTTATATACATGTTTAGCTTGGACAGCTGCAAAGTTTAGGTAGGGTAGGAAAAAGAAGGGAGGGTGTGTGTGTGTGTGTGTGTGTGTGTGTGTGTGTGTGTGTGTGCGCGCGTGCGTGTGGGGCACAGTACAAATGAGCTTTGGCCAATCTGCAAGGGAAGCCTGAAATGAAAATTACTCAAACGTTCAGAATTCCCAGTGCAGTATCTGGTGGGGACCAAATCTCCCTGGTACTCCAGAGGAGGTTAGTAACAGTCCAAGAGTGGGGAGGCTTCCTCCTATGGGCACCTCTGTGCCAGTTTCAAATACCCCATGAATCCCCATGTTCCACCTGTGAAAACCTACATGTAAGCAGTCTTTAGCCTCAGGTAAACCCCTTCTGTTGTCAAATAGCCCTCTTTGCTGATCTCTGCTTCGGATCTCTGGGCTTACTGCACTGATAAGCATTTTCAGGTTGGCTGTTGGCGTCCATGGTTCTCCCTGGGAGACTTCCTTGGGTTTGGTGGGTGTGGTCAAAGGGCCCAGATTAGGCGAGGATAGGTCAGCCCGCGCTACGTTCTCCTTGGTGGACTCCTTCAGAGGTGACTTCATCAGTACCCTTTTGTGTGGCTCAATAAAAAGATTTTCCTGGTTCAAAAGAAGTAGTTAAAAAAAAAATCTATGGTAAGACATGACTTATCAGACAGCTTTTACATCTAAAAGTTGTACAAGGCATAGATTATTGCTAAGGAAAAAATGCCACATGAGACTATAAATTTAAGTCTGATAAGTGCATTTCCATGATCACACTTACTGTCTATTCTAATAGTTAAATTTCCCACTTTTAATTTTGCAACAAGCGTAGAACTGAATGTTTTCATCTGCTAAGAATTAAAAAAAAAACTTAAAATATAATATTTAAGCTCTGTTTTGAAATAATTTTAGATTTAGAGAAAAGTTGCAGATAATTTAGAGTTCGGAAACATCTCTCACTCATCTCCTAAAAAGACTGATAAATTTAAGTGATCTCTAATTTTAGAAGCAAGCTTTACACAAGACAGTAATAACTAAAGGCCTCCAGGGTAGAAATCATTATCCATTTAGCATAATGGCTGTATGCAGTAGATGCTCAGTAAGACACCAACCATACACGAGAGCCGAGCAGACTTATCAGGAAAATCTAGAGTGCCTAAGAGAACGACTTCTGACCAGGAAGATTTGCTCTTTGAATGTACACCTCCTCATTTTACAGATGGAGAAAATGGGTCAAGGGGAGTAAAAACGAGCTACTCAAGGTCACAAAGCTAGTGCCTAGCAGAAGGATGGCTGCTACCAAGACAAGAGGGTAAATAACAGCATTTCTTAAGAATAAGAAAGACTGTCTTCCCCACTTTCAGACTCCTACCTGTAACTATTTTAAAGAAAATACGTGGAATGGCAGTGAGTAGAAGAACAGAGCGATCCACTAGTTCCAAAATAACTTTAGGAACGTGGATGAATGGTACTGTTTCCATGTGACTCCTAAGTATTTGGGCAGTGTTTTCCTGCGTATATGTTCATTGACTCTTGTATTCCTATTTAGCAGAAGAGGACACCAGGCAGAGGGAAGGTCACAAAGGACTGGGACTTTCTCAGCCCAGGTATGGTGAGTGCTCTCACAGGGAAGTTAGATGATCCTATGGGGCTGCTTGCCTGCGTGTACACCCAGAATGTGTGAGCCTGAGGATTGGCTTTTTCCCCTAAAGGCTGCTGTTCTTCACCTCACACTGTCTGCAGTAACAGCAATTCTCTTCTTTGACATCTAATCCTTTAAGAAAATTTTCCTAAAAGTTCACTTGTGTGTTTAACTTATCAATACCAACCAAGCCACCCCTATTAACAATTCCTCTGTAATTTTACAAAAATACTCCGTTACAGCCTTTTGAACCCCGATAAAGAACCTGGGAGGACATTATTCTTAAAAGAAGTCTAATATTGAATCATATCAAATGCCCTTTCCAGTTCCAAGTGTTCAAGAATCTTCCTAAGTATTTTAACGAATATATTTTATTATTCTTAAAAATGTTTTTGTTTCTCTCTTTGAGAATAGACTTCCACCACATCTGAGACTTCCACGTCTCTTCAAAACTCAAATTTCCCTTCCTTTGAGATTTTTACAAAGACTAACCGAAAAGAGATATTAATGACGCTAGAGAATGAAAAATTAAAAAATTAAATCAGGGTGATAGTACACTTAAGACTACACAGTAGATATTGAAGCTAAAAGTACCTTTTCGTTCTCCATTCTGTCAACTTCTCACATTTAGTGTTTCTTTAAAAATGAAAAATCTGGAGTTCCTCCCCAGATCCCAGTGGTTCAAGTAGTCAAATCAATTCTATTAAAATTTTAATATCCTTAAAGAAAAAGGGAAAGGAAAGGGAAAAATCAGAACCAGGAGATCTGCTGAAAATTCACAGACACAAGAGGCTACAGAAATAAAGACTAACGAAAAATGACAAATTAGACACTTTTTTGTTCCATCAAAGGTAGGGGCTCACTGGGTAGAGAGAACTCCGGCAAACACAAGTAAATTCCTTCATAAAACCCATCTGCTATCAGACTTCAAGCAACCCACAGAATCTCCACCGACAGCCCTCTCTCATCTTTAGAGAAGGTGGGCTATTTTCCAGACCCCGTCAAAAAAAAAAGAAAGCACCCACCTGTCCACCTAGCAGGACTCCGGACTGAGCGCTGTACAAGCCCGGTTCCGGCAGAGCACACGCGACCCCAGATATCTCGATACGAAACTGCATGGAGTTGCCTGAATTTCTCCCCTTACACGTACACGTGCACAGGCGTGGCAATAAAGGCTCGGGAAGTTGCTTGATATGAAACTCCCAAATTCAGCCCCAAAGCTCAAAGGTGTATTGCGAGGCATTTAAAGAGCGCCTTATCTTTATCCTTTTTTAAAGATTTCATTAAAACTGCAGAGCGCCAAGTACTGGCACTCAGGTGGCGGGTTCACGACACGAGGTTCATTACACCACTGAAGGCTGCCTTTGCTCGGTAAGGCAACCAGGTACAGTCCCCTGGTCGCCACCCGCTCCGCCCGGAACACTTCCCCTCCTCCTGGGCGACTGCACCTCCCCCGCGCCGCCGGCCCGCCGCCCCGCCGCCAGCCCGACTCTTCCCGGACAGCATCTTCTCGGTTTCTAGGGCAACGACACCCGTCCAATTAGAGAGCCCGCTGCAGGCCTACGATTGGCTGACGGCCCCACGGGCGGGGCCGGACC